ATATATATATATATATATGATGCTATGCTATTATAATGCTACAGTATTATAATATATTGCTGTGGTGTGCCTTCCTGTATATATTTGGTCAAACAGGGAGAGTGGTGGCGTAGAGGTTAGAGAAAGTGGGACTGTGATGGGAGGGTCGCTGGGCCAACTCCCCAGATCGATAACATCAAAATGTGGGTGGGAAAGGTGAAACACCCACACCTACCTCCACCCTCATTCGTCCCACTCTGGGCCCTTGAGCAAGGCCCTTAATCCCCACCATCTGCTCCTCCGGTGTCCTAGATAGCAGCTCTCTGCTCCACACAGAGGGCTGTGGTAGCTCAGTGGTCTGTGGTTGTGTCAGGAAGGACATCCAGCATAAAACTAATTGCCAAGTCTTCGTGTGACTTACTTCGCTGTGGCGACCCCTGAACAGATGGCCGCTTGTCCTGAGCCTGGTTCTGCTAAAGGTTTCTTCCTCATGAGGGATTTTTTCCTTTCTACTGTCGCCTTCATGCTTGCTCAGGATGAGAGTCTGCAACAAAGTTAAACTCAAAGCAGTCTGCTCCTCAGATAAATGTTAACTTACTTTTTATGCATATGAATGTTTCTGTTCAGTGCCCTGAGGTGACTTCTGTTGTGACTTGGTGCTATATAAATAAACTGAATTGAATTGAAGTGTATAATGTGCAATTTCTGTATATATTGTGTTCAAATTTTCTCACATTCTTGTAATGTTATATAGAGATCTTAATTAGTAACTACTGGTATATAGCACCTTTCTTTCTAATCAAGACACTCAAAGCATTTGACACAACAATCTGTGCCTCATTTACACATTCGTACATCACTCTACTATAAAGCTCATTAATACAAATCATTCTAAAGAGACTAATCAGAGCTTTATCACATTCATACACCGATGGGACACACATCGGAGGCAATGAGGGGTTCAGTATCTTGCCCAGGGACACTTTGGCATGTGACTGCTGGTGGATTCGAACCCACAACTCTTGCATTGGAGGACAACTGCTCTACCACTAATCCACAGCTGCCAATGTACCCTCTTTCTGTCCATCCATGCATGTTGTGAACATGATAACTTAAAAATAGGTGATGTACCAACTTTCATTTTGGTGTGTGGCTACATTAAGGCATAAGAAAGGTTCTTTTCAAAAATTGGATTACAATGTCAAAATCCAAGATGGCCATCATCATATGTATTTGTAATCCCCTATAATTCGCGTACGTTTTGTTTTCAACTTGTATTTTGTGGGGCAGCTGTGGCTGAGTGGTTAGAGCAGTCGTCCTCTACTGCGAGAGCTGGGGGTTCGAATCCACCAGCAGTCACATGCCTATGTGTCCCTGGGCAAGACACTGAACCCGTCATAGCCTCTGATGTGTGTCCCATCAGTGTATGAATGTGATAAAGCTCTGATTAGTCTTTGTATAGCTGTAGTAGAGTGCTGTCTGAATGGGTAAATGTGGACACAGATAGTGTTGTAAAGCACTTTGAGAGTCTTCATCAGATAGAAAGGCGCTACAGTCCATTTACCATTTATATTGCTTAAAAGTGTAGTTTCCTCAAATGATTAGCGTGGCCAGAGAATGATCTATGGTGGCCAAGGCCACCATTGGTTTTGCTTTCCGTGTTCAATTCCAGTCCAGAAAAATACTCATCTTGAAATCTACAAACATTCAGTACTCAAATTCTCAGCGTTGGGGGACATCAGCATATTGCTTGTTGAATAAGTTGTATTCTTAGGTTTACACAAGGAGTTGTTAAAGAGCCATAAATATTTTTGTTGGTGCTAAGATGGTCGACGAGGAAGAGGGCCGGCACAAGAGGAGGGGGCGTGCCAAAGACACCATCTTAGCACCAACATAACTGGTTTGTTCCACTTTGGAGTAAGCTGTTTGGGGGAAGAATCAGTTTTGTTGTGTGTTTCCTTGACTGATGAAGCCTTCTGGATGGAAGGTGAAACATTTCAGCAAAAAAAGAAACTGACTGAAAATTTTTGGATTGTATACCTGAATTATTGAGCATGGATTTCGTTGGTTTTGGATCTTCATTGAACTTTAGTTCTGACTGGATATCTTCTAAATATTAATAACCCTTGTGAATTATTATGATCTCTTCAAAATTCAATAAAAGACTGAATCAAACTAGGAAGCCTGTTTCCAACTTAAAATATATTTATACTTTTTTTTTTTTTTTTTAAAGACAAAATCTACATTGTAAATACCTGGAGCATAATATATATATATATATATATATATTTTTTTTGGAGGTCTTTATGAAGTTAAATTTTTTTTAAAGTCTAACTTATATGTTTTTCCAGCGTCCAACACAATATAACATTTATGGCATTACAAGCGAGCAGTACCATGTATGCAGTTTTCACATCTGATAATCCTCTAACTCGGTACAAAATACCAACAGGTTTAGTTTATTGTTGGTTTGATCAAAGGAGGATGCGGTATTCAGAGTTTTTACGCTGAATTCTGACTCAGCTTCAATCTTTGTACCAACCACTAAATTTGATTTTCCTACCTTGCAAGACCATCCCCTTTTACGTAGGGTTTTGCAACTCTTAGCTTTTAGCTATTTTTAGCTATGTTTAGCCTTCATCTAAGGGTTAGCTTCAACAAATTTCAGAAGTCATTCATAACTCTGCATGCACACTACCTTTTGAGTGAAAATGCAATTTCTCTTGAATTATTCACATTTTCTTCATGGTTTTCCAGGAGTCCAGATGTTCACAGTTTCTCCTGATCCAGGCTCTACTGTCAACATCAGCAACAGTGAAGATAAAAGTTGCAAAGTGTGCACAGGCTCAGGTAGTTCACGACAATGTAGCACCTCTCTGGTGTTACAACACAACACTCCTGTCTCTGTGGAGTTCGACTGCTCCAAACCTCAAGAAGTATTTACTGTAGAAACTGTACAAAACATAGGTGAGGCTCACACTGAAAGTCTCCATCTTGATTTATCATTTTTTTATTTTTCAAAGTGTAACAGAGTAATCTCTCCACCCAGACTGCAGCACAAGCTCGTGCAGCAACCACATCAACCTGGATGGCTCCGGTTTGCAGAGTTTGTTGGACTTTAACCGCAGGTTCACCTGGAACATAACGGCTTTGCACAAAGCCTTCAAGTTAGACTTCACTAAGACGGGCCTGAGACAGATCAGTCCATCAGAAACATGTCCTGACAAACACACCTTCACTCTCCTGGCTTCAAGAAAGGTTCTTGTAGGGAAATACTGCAGGTCTGGTTCCATCAGCAGGGCTCAGGTCCTGGGTCAGGGCAGCTTTTCTGTGGACATCCCTGCAGGACAGAAGCTGCAGAATGACCAGATTGATGTGACTGTAGGGGAGAAGATCAGAAGTGAGTTGTTTTGTGGTTTATCTGTTCCCATGTGCATCTTTCACTGCCACCGTTTAACAGAGTTATTCCTCTCTCAGCTCTTGCCAAAATCTCTCTCACATTACCGAACGGCACCTCGACCTCCGAGCTGCTCTCACCAAACTACCCTAAAAGTTTTCCTAATGACGATGAGATGGAGTGGGCCTTCCAGGTGCCGCTCTACCACAGAGCAGCTGTTGAGTTTCGGGGCTTCACGCAGCCGCAGTGCTGGAAGAAAGAGACAGCGGTGGAGTACCACAGCAACACAAGGTCTGCGTTAGTCCTGAGCCTGGACGAAGCCCAGCCGCAGCAGTACCGAGGCAGCTTCTCTATGATCCTCAGGAACTGCAAGATGGACAGAAGTTCTGCTTGTGGACTTTCCCTGAACTTCACTGTGACCGTTTCGAGTTTGGAAGGTAAGTTAACCTGCTCTGTATCACACTACCAGGGCTGCAGACTGTTTTTAATCCTAAAACTTGGAGAATGCTGGAATTTGAAACAACCATCTATGTTTCTATTTAAACACTGGCTGATGTGTGATGACTGCAGAGTTTTAACACCTTTTAAGTTGGTTTTATTTATTTACCACTTCTGTTCAAACTAACAAAACTCAAAATATTTTATTGATAGAAACACCTAACTAGTTTTTCTTCTGCTCCTGTAGGTAGAATTAAAGGGCTTAGCTGCAGTTAGCACAGATTAGAAGGAGCATCGTTTTAATTTTATTATTGGTAGTTTAATCCAGCAAAGTTCAGTCGGGTCATCTGGACGGTTTCTTTTTTCTATTTTTTGTTGTTGAGATGTTTCATCCTTCATCCAAAGGACTTCATCAGTCCGAGGAGCCACAAACAAACTTAGTCCCACAAACAGCACACTCCCATAGTGGACCAATCAGTTTGCAGGTGATAAGATGGTTTCTGGGGCCCGCCCTGTCCCCTGTCAACTCCTCTGAGGCAGCCACAGCCAAAGTAGTTCAAAACATCAAAGTTCACACTCGGTAATCCAGGCAGAAAATCCAACAAAGTTCAGTCAGGTCATTTGCACAGTTTCTTTTTTTTATTGAGATGTTTCGTCCTTCATCCAAAGGACTTTGTCAATCCAAGGAGCCACAAACAAACTCTGTCCCACAAGCAGCATACTCCCTTTTCTACTTGGATTATTGATATTGAACTTTGATGTTCTGAACCACCCCAGCCACGGTTGCCCCAGAGGAGTCGATGGGGAAGAGGGCAAGCCCCAGAAACCATCTTATCACCAGCAAACTGGTTGGTCTACTATGGGAGTGTGCTGCTTGTGGGACTGAGCTTGTTTGTGGCTCCTCGGTCTGATGAAGTCCTTTGGATGAAGGACGAAATGTCTGAACAAAGAAAGAAACTGTCCAGATGACCTGACTGAACTTTGTTGAATTTTTACCTGGATTATTGAGCATGAACTCTATCTATCTATCTATCTATCTATCTATCTATCTATCTATCTATCT